TAATTTCGGGGGGCTCCGGCGGTAATCCTGTGGACATCTCTCTTGCTTCGCCACCTGGCAACCCACTTCACATTGTAAAGCCACCTGTTGGATTTAATGTCACTGGCATGACAAATGGATAAGTTGCATACTTGCTCCATCACACAGTTTTTACAATCCAAATTCATTATCAATCATAGCATGCAGAAAATTTTCAGCCTTACATCACTCAACCTTACGACTTACAATTAAACCACCATTGGGGGCTGAACTTACCAAAATTTTCAGCCTTACACAGTACTCTTGACTCTTGTATTGCCCAACTTATCCATTCTGCGCCCAACCTATTCATTTTGCTAAATCCAACTCATAAGTTCATAAAACAAACTTGTGGAATTTTTGTATCCAAGATTTATAAAACCACAACAAAATTTAAAGTGTATGTTTAACCCCGTTTAGAAGTAACAGAAGTTAAGCCCATTAACCCAACTCTCTCTCTCTTTCTCTCTCTCATTAACTCTTTTAACAATCTCCCATTAATTATGTCATTAACTCTCTCCTTCAATAACTAATGCCACTAATTCTATCTCATCTCCATTATTCCAATTTCACAAAATTCATTACCTTTATCTATATCTATATCCATTTCAATTTAACTATAATTATATATATTAGATATATTTACATTAAATTGTAATTATTAGTAAAGATTAATTATATTGAAATTGAGATATTCAATGATATATTATTATGCTAAATAATCTACTTCCATTTAAAATTATAATCCATTTATATTCCATTTGAAAATAATAAAAATTAATTCAACATAATTAAAATAATTTAGTAAGTTACTTAAGTAAAATAAAAATGATTATTAATTATTGTTATTGATAAAAATATTTTTATTAATATAATAAAAAGAATTTAATTGATAAAAGGAATAAGATAAATTAAAAACTAATATCAATTTAAAAATAATATAAAACTAATACAAAATTATCTAACAATTATTAGTTTTGTAATTAATTTTTACTAATTTAAAACCAACTTAAGTTCTACTGAAAAATAAAAACTTAATATAGTTAATTAAACTTCATAAGTAATTCAAATTTAATAAAAACTTAATATACTTCATTAAATTTAATTTTTACTAATTTCAAAAATTAATATAAAATATTAATTTTAAATATAGTTTAATGATTTTAAAATCAATTTAAATCCCAGTTAAAAATAAGGAAAATTATGAATGTCTCCTTCGGTTTTCTAACAATCCTATGGAACTCCCCAATGTTTTGACCTTAACAAAAACCTCCCCTATTGTTTTGAAAAAAAGTGCAAATACTTTCCTTTTGTCATCATTCCAAATAAAAAATGTTGATGTAATGCATATATTTTACTTCACTTCAGCCTTTTTGCCTTACTTTGTCCAAGAAGAGTAAGGAGAATTGTTCTTTGAAAGTTATTTGGCATAATAAATTAGTGAAGGGTAAAGTTGAAATTTTAAATTCTATATGATAATGCATTAACAATGATAAGGGTATTTTGGTAACTTTGTCTTTGTTAGTAAAAAAGATAAGGGAAAGGAGGTATTAGCACTTTTTTTTTTTTCAAAAGGGGAGGCTGTTGTTAGGGTCAAAACACAAAGGTGGTTTATAGAAATTGTTATTTATATGTTTTTTATATTTTTACCTGAAAATAATATATAAATAATAATAAACAAATAAAAATTACTAACTTTTTTTTCAAAAAATTAATAAAAATTAGCATTAAGATACAAAAATACAAATTATCTAGAGAATAGGAAATTGGCCACTCTCACTAAAGTGCAACTTAGATTGTGATTGCATAAACTAGACATAACCCTAAAAATAATACTTGAATTGAACTTAGATGGGCACCACTTAATTGGAAATGTCATAGAACTTCATCTCACTTTTGCTTATAAATAAAGGCCGAGCATCGCATGGTTCATTACTAGTTTTCATAAAAAACCAAGGAGACCCAAACCGCAATAAACACGATCGAACAAACCAAACCCAAGTAGCGGTCACTTTCTATATTGCCCTCCTCTCTCTCTTAGGTTCAAGAGGATGAAGAAAACACGAGGCATAATCAAATTCAAGAATTAGAAGACTCAAATATGTTAGGGGGGTTGGTGTCACATCAATTTGTCAAACCTGAAGGCTCAGTTTGGAAAGAGTACAAATGCAAATATGTATAGTTTAAATACATACAAAATAATATAAAATTTAAGGTTTTGCACTCTACATATTTGCATTTGAACTCCTTCCAAACTGAGCTGGAAGAGAAAATAAGTCCACTGAGACATTGCTTTTATTTGTATTTTGCAAGATGGATCCCAATGCCTAATCTTAAAAATTTGTTCCCTGTATGAAAATAGGCTAAAGTAGATTATGTTGACAAAATTCGTAATCAACTTTGAAAGACAAATACAATAATCGAAATGCCAAAAAAAAGCACCGTTACTCTCATCAAACTTCAAGCATCTCATAAAGCGGATTAAAATCATAAAAAAAAACAAAGCTGAAAGATTAAATATAAGATAAAAATAAAATAAGAACAGGGTGACCAATTTACAGTCGTTGATCAAACCACCTGCAACAATAACAAGAACATGGGACAACCGTGCCTTCAAAGTTATTTTGTTGGATAGCTGAATCAGTAAGTGGGTAGTTTGGAATGGAGATTCTCATTTTCCTTATGTTCAGCTGCTCCCAAAAGGATGTCCCAGCCATCCTATACTTGTGTTTTCATCTTCTTGAACCAAAGCATCTGGTTCTCAGTTGGGGAGGGAGTAGGTGAACAGTAAATATATTTTTAAAGGGTAAAATAGGAAGATGAAAAGAGGTTCATAAAATGGGAGAATAAACAAGGGTATGTTTTAAGTTCAGTAAGTCAATTTATAAAAACTTGGTATATCCAAGTCTTTTACCCAAAATATACAGTATTAAACTAAGCCCAACCCTCCAACCGGCACATTGAATTTACTAAAATACCTCCGGTGCTTATAATTCAATTAATATTGCAAGGCAAATAAACGTATGCATTATGTATTGAAGTCAATAGTGTTTCGAATCTTATGTGTAGGATAATTAATAATCTGAAAGTTTTGGTGTTTGTTAATGTTATGTTGCTTGTTTATTACTTATATATAATAGGAAATTAGATGTAGGTTTTAAATATAACTTGCCAATCCAACCCACCTCACCCTCAAAATGCGGGGAGGATAGGGTTTCACATTTTCTTGTGCAGGTAATGTTTAGATTTTGAAAACCAAACCCATTGCAGGTTTTGGGGAACGGTACGGATTGAAAGGCTTGGGGAGGTGGAGAGGTCTAAAATTTACAAAACCCTGGAAGAGAGCAGATCAGATGTTTACACAACTGAACTCCCTACTTTTCATGGTTCTTTTAACTGAACTCCCTACGGGAGAAGGGGAGAGAGGATCTGCTGCTTACACAGCTGTGTCTGATGGGCTACGTAATCATATTTAGTTTCCATACACCTGGGGTCCACCTGAGTATGAGTTCTACATGAATGGAACACATCTGTTCACTCATGATTGGTTATGCATCCCATTATACACAACTGTACAAACAGAAGATGCTGATGCATAGAAACACACTCATTCACCCGTGATTGGTTACGTAACCCATACACAGTTGTGCCGGCAGCAGGTCCTGATGCATGAAAAACATGCTTTGGACATTGCTAATGTGAACTGCTTTTGCAAAACTTGTCGTGATTTACTTGAAAACATTGCTAATGTGGACATTGATTTTGCAAAGCAAGTATACAATACGATCAATCCTATTGGTCTTTGGACCAAAAGAGCATTAATATCTTAATCAGGGTTTTTAAAACCGACCTGGATAACAAACTGGTTAGGGGTCCGGTTCCCGGGTTGAACAGTCGGCCCATTCTGACAAAAATAAAAAATTAAAAACTGTTAAATGGTTTGAACGCCTGGGTCAGCGGTTTGTTGATCAAATCAACATTTTTTGGCAAAATTCTGATTTTGGTGAAAAACAGAACCCATCACCTGACCGGTTCCCAGTTTTTCCAGTCCAACTGTCCGGTCCAGTCTGGTCCAGTCCGGTCCGGTTTTGAAAACCATGATCTTAACTAATGATATCAAAATTCAATTTGGAAAGAATGTCGGGCTAGAAAAAAGTGTCTATATAATTTTGAAATACTTGGAAATAAACACCTTGTTTTATAATATCCAACCCAGCAAAAATTAAAAGGCCACATCAAAATTCATAACCTCTTTCTCTGGTCATATGATTCATATCCCACCTCAAAATTCTACTTCAAAATAATGCATATTGTAGGAAAAACAAAACATTGTTCTATGGAGCTCACTGTAGATCAATCAATTTATAAATCGACTATGATGCATCTTCAAATCAAGGGGAAGCGGCCATAGAATGTGGGACCTACCTCGATAACCAAGTGGCAGTCATAAATAAGCTGATTAAAGCATCATCAACGTTGATGAAGCATGGGCAGCCAAGATGAGATAGAGTTGCCTTATAACTTGGACCCAATAATATTATCAGGGAGGTCTGGAAGTCTTCATTATAGCATCAATGGAGAAGTTAATCTATGGACAATTTCAAACGTCATAGAAAACATTCATGACATGGTCACAAACCTTTTCCTGATTATAAATTCACACATGTAAAAAGTTTTTTTTTGGATGATATCGGCATATCGCACTGCCCCTCGCCTTGTCCAGTGCTTCCTTCCGCATACCAAAAAAAAAAAAAAAATGGTAGCATCCACACAAAGTTGGATTAAAATCAATTTCTGTGAAAATCTCAGTTAGTCTTCAAGCTAATAAAGACCTTTCAATAAGGTCAACTCATGAATCTTATGTATGCTAATGCTTGGTAGTGTAATATCATAAACTCGTATTCCCATTTCTTTAGCCCATTATTAACCTTTCCATTGAGATGAGCCCACAGACAAACAAGAAGAAAGTGAAGAACAGTTAATAGGTCTGGAAATGGTACCCGTTCCATATTCAAATTCAATTCGACCAAGGCAAAATGAGTTTCAATCAGTTTTATAATTGGACGGGACATGGAGCCATCCAGTTTGATTGTCTGGATCTGCTTTTCTCCTCTCATTTTGCAACTAATCCTAATGCGCCAGAAAAACCAGTTGTTCCAACTTCTAAAAAAGATACCTTTTGCATTCAGCTAAAATGATTTTCTGTTCTGGTGGTAACTTAAATAGTTTACTTATAATGTATGCATATGAAGATGTTTCACAATGAAATGAGCACTCACAGTTGTTGAGGTTTGCTGGAACTACTTCATAAACATTGCAACAGCCTCATGGATACCACGCCCACTATTCACCGACTTGTAGCAGCGAGACAGTGAATGGGGCCCACTCCAAACGGATCTGGGATCTTTAGAGAAAAGAGTCCCACATAAATCCAAAATCAAAGGATTTTCAAGATAAGTAAGTTCCTCCAAGATTCTGGTACGCCGTTGCCTCTCTTGGGATTCCTGTCACCAAACAGTGAGTGTAAAGTTGCAAATTATTTATTTATTTTTTAATAGTTCTAACGAATGGGTTTATACAACTTTTGGATTTGTTTAAGAGGTAGGACTCATAAAAAGACATTTCTAATTTTGTCGCCTATTGTTTTTTCATGGGTTCCATCATGTCTGAAGAATGGGGTATAAAGAGCTTCATAAACTTGGTTACCATAACTCTTCAGATCATTGTGAAAAAAAAAATACATTTGTTGCACAAAGATGAAAAATGTGGATGGCTATATATAGCATGTGGTAGAAAATAAACTTCCCATCATGCCTAGGATGGCTATATATAATACGTAGCATTTAGTCATAATATCCAAGATGCAAGGCAAGTTCAAGTATCTTCATTAGATGTGGCATTTAAAGAACTCACCAATAATTCTATAAGAAAGGCTTCCAGCTTAGCGTCTAAACTGTCTAGTTTGTGATCCATTGTAGTAACTTTCTACTACAAATAAAAAGCAATTCTAGATCCAATAGAGCTTAGACGATCATGGAGTCGATCCTTCTCTTCATCATAGCTGTTGATCAAATCACCAAACTTGGCATTAACTTCATTTACTGTAGTGTTTCCCATGTTTTACAAAGGTTTGCTTCAATATCTCCAAATATGGTTTTGTACCCCTCTAGATTTAGCTCTGTTCTATGCTTGGCTCTGATATAAAACTGATGTAGGACAAAGTAGGGGTCCTACAAATTTCGGATCTGATAGTGAGCTTCATGGGGTGGTGAATGAGGGACTTCAGGTAAACAGTTTAGAATGAGCCAAATACTAGAAAGGAGAGCCCTTGCTGTTAAGAGTAAGCAGCATAGAGATGTATCACTTAGAAGAAGAAATAGGTCAAAGACAGGGTAAAAAGAGAAAATACAGGCAACAACCAGAATTCACTAAACTAAACTTTATTTCATCACATGAAGTCTTCTCAAAATTCAAGTACAATGACTTTTGTCATAGATTGAATATAAGTTGGATATCCCTCTATAGATTTTAACTTGGACTCAAAGAGAGAACTTCTAATTGATTTAGAACTAAGACAAACTCATATGAACGCTCAAATAGACCCGGACTCCAAAAACAACTCTAATAACTCATTAGTAATGCTACTAAAACTTCAGAAATTACTAAAAATAGTAAATAGTTACAGGAATCAATATAAGTAGTAAGTTCATAAGTTACCATAATAGTAATTTTGGAATAACAAGAAAACTTAAAACCTATTCTTAAGACACCTAAAAATAAATTAAAAACAAGACATCTAGAAACCAATATCCTATCATCCAAAAATTCTGCAATTGGGAACTGAATTATTTCCCCATGGATTCTTTCCTTGCTTTCATATCCGAAACAACTTAGAATCCTTTATAGATTTTTCCCTCCCTCTACACCAATGCCATCTTTCAAATATAAAAAGCATCTCATTTTCTGTCTCAACTTCTAGGCTGCATTGAGATTCCTTCTACAGTTCAACTTTGGCTTTGAGGAATTCTTTGGAGGGTGTTTTCCTTGATCCCAATAATCCAAATGGTAGAATTTGGATTCCTAAGCCCTTGGGTGTTTTCTCTTATGCTTCCTTCTAAACTTTTGTCTCTTATCAGACTTATCTTGTGAATCTCCTCTTCCCTTCTAATTTCAACTCCATTCTCTAGCAGGCTTTTCTTGCAATACCTTGTGAAATGGTGGTGCATGTAAAGTGATTGATCCTCAATGTGTGGTGATTTTGTGGTGGTTTGTGGTGATATCTTGTGGTGTGTGATGCTTCCCTAGTGTTTCAAGTAGAAGTGTGGCGATTTTTTTTTTTGGTGTTTTTCCTAAGTGAAAAGTGTGCTACAGTAGGTGTAAACAACTGTAATGACAGTTTGCTCAAGTGATAAATCAATGATTTCTTTCTCTCACTCATGGCTTCATCAAGTGGTAATACTAAACCTACAGTAGTTGTGCAATCAGACCCCATGAATTCACAGTAAGACATGCTGCGGGAGATGGAAGTTAAGACATGTTGGATTAAAAGATCTGCTAATTCCCTAGCTGACGGTTTAGCTAAACAAGGGGCAGAAAGGGATTCATTGTTTTGGGCTAAGCTGTAACATTAGTGTCTTTGTATTTTCTTTTTTCCGTTCTTGAAGCTCTTTGTGACTCTTGGAAGATAAGTGTGTTTGTCTTCCACTTGTNTGTAACATTAGTGTCTTTGTATTTTCTTTTTTCCGTTCTTGAAGCTCTTTGTGACTCTTGGAAGATAAGTGTGTTTGTCTTCCACTTGTAAATTTTCTACTGATGAATTAATGAAAGTGTTATTGATCAAAAAAAAAAAAATTCACAGTAACCCATGGTGAAACTCAATGGTACTAATTATATACCATGGGCCAAGTCGGTTTAGAATCTCTCATTGTAAGAGGTGAGTTGAAGTATATCAAGGAGGGCCCATTGAAAAGTGGATTGGAAGGTACAATGAACGGGGTACAAGAGAATGCTCAAATTATGACTTTTCATTGGAATAGTATAGAGAACCATATCAGTGTGAACCTCATGTTTTTTGACATGGAAAAGGAGATTTGGAACCATCCCAAGAAGTTATATTCCGAACAAGATGATGTCACAAGAATATACCAGCTGTACCAAGATTATTTTTCCCTACAAAAGGGGATAAAAGTGTTGAAGAATATTATACTTCCTTGAAAAGCTTAAGGAATGAACTTAATGTTTATCAGCCCCTATTCATTTATTTGAAAATACAACTGGAACAAAGGGAACATCTAGATGTTGCAAGGTTTTACTCAGGGTTGAGGTCTGAATTTGAACTAGTGGAGGCCCCAATCTTAGGTAGCGCTGACCTTCCATCTTTGTTTGAGGTTTTCTCCTGCATAAGGAAAGCCTCAACTCCACATAGTGATTATGTTCCATCTTCAGAGAGATCAGTCCTGGTATCTTCCAGAGGAGGTTTTGCAAGCAGAGGTATGCACGGTAGACGTGGAGATGGTTGAGAGGCTTTGGTTGTGGGCCTTGAGGTGGCTGTGGTGGTGGTAAAGAGGTAGGAGGTGCAAGAGGTGGTGATGGTCATAGTGGTAGCTGTAGCTTAACTCGTGAGTGCTCACATTGTGGCTAAGGGCACAGTTAATTTTTGTTATGATCTTTATGGTCCTCTATCCTCTTGGGCCAACCATGCTGTGGTGCAAGATGATTTTGGGAGATATGGTATGGCTGAGGACACTCCTGCTTCAAGTGTTGGCAAGGCCAAAGAAACAATCTCTATCTTACATGAAGAGTATGAAGGGGCTTCACTAGTATGCTTCTTCCAGTACCACCACTAGTACACTTGTGAAGTCAGGTACAACCTACCTTGTTTCTAGTTCTACACCTTCACCTTGGGTAATTGATTATGGAGTCTCTGACCATATGACTAGCTCCTCAGATATCTTTGTATCTTTGTTTCTTGCTTCTACACCTAGGGGTGGCCATGAGCCAAGATTTTTATGAGCTATTCGAACTTGGCTCGTGAAAAGCTTGATTCGGCTCAGTCTAAACCGAGCTTCGAGCCGAGCTTGAGCCCAATATATAGACTCATTTACTAGTCGAGCCGAACATGAGCCTAATAAAGCCCAGCTCGTGAGGCTCATGCATAATACATGCATAATACATACATGTATATCCACCACCAGAGTCTTTGTTGTTGACAAATCCACCACCCTTAGATCTTGATCTTCCTATTGCTCTTCATATAAGGGTAAGTGTGCTTGCATAGATCATCATCTTTCTCGGTATGTCTATTTTGCTCACTTATCTCCTTCACACCAGTGGTTAATCTCCTTTTTATCTTCTATTTCTCTACTGTGTTCTATACTGGAAGCCCTCTCATCTCTTGATTGATGAAGGCAATGGATGACGGATTTCATGCTCTTCAATCCAACAATACTTGGGATCTTATTTCCATACCTCCTAGGAATGGATTATTTAGAGACTCTCACTAGTGGAAAAGATAGGCTTTGTATAGGTACTCATCTCCTTACCTGCCCATTTTGATTGGCCCTTGTTTCAGCTTGATGTCAAAAATAATTTCCTCTATGGTGATCTTTAGGAGGTGTATATGGAGCAACCTCATAGGTATGTTGCTTAGGGGGAGTCATGAAAGGTATGACAGTTGGCTATCTATGCGCTCAAGCAATCACTATGAGCATTGGTCACTTTAGTAGTATGGCACAAGATTTTGGTTTAAAACAATGCAGTGTTGATTGCTTCGTGTTTAGCATGGATTCTTCATCTGGGAAAATATCCTAGCAGTTTATCTTGATGATATTGTTCTTATTGGCAATGACACACATGGAATTAGTGAGTTTAAATAATTCCTACAGCAACATTTTCAAACTAAGGATCTGGGAACCTTAATCTAAGAATTGAGATAGCCCGATCGAAGTGGGGAATTTCTTTGTCTCAACGAAAGTATGTTTAAGACATGTTAGATGAAACTAGATTATTGGGATCCAATCTAGTGGAATCTCCCAATGGATACCAATGTGAAGATGACTGATAGTTAGGGGAGCCATTAGAAGACCTTGCAAGATAGAAAAACTAGTAGGCAAGCTAATCTATCTCACTATCACTAGGCTTGACATTTCCTTTAGGCTATGTTTGGTTTGAAGGAAAAGCTAAGGAAAGATAGGGAAAGGTAGAGAACCCTATAAAAGGTTTGTAAAGGTTTCCCTACCTTTCCCTACCTTTCCCTTCCTTTCCCTACTTTTTCCTTCAAACCAAACACAGCCTTAGTGTTGGAGTCCTTGGTCAATTCATACAAAATCCTACAATTGATCATTAGGATGGTGTTATGAGGGTGTTGAAGTTTTAAAGGGTGATCTTGGTAGTGGGTTGTTGTATAAGAAGGGGGAGTTATCCCTAAATGGTATTCAAATGTAGATTGGGCACGGTCTCCAATAGACACAAAGTCTACTATAGGTTATTGTACCTTCTTGTGTGG